AGTTCAGGTGCCTTGAGCTCACTTTCTTCTCTCCAAGACAGATTTACTGGTCAAACTCCATATCCTGCAGTGCACCTAAATAATGGTCTGGAAGGTCCAGAGTTCTATATATGTATGTGTATGTTTGCATATATTTGTATAAAGGATACGCGTATAAAAGACATGGAAAGTTTGACAGAGAAGCCCAACGTACAGAAGGAAAGTGGAAAAGGTTTAATCTTGAGATCAGAGAATCACAAAATTGTTCAGGTTGCAGGGACCACTTGAGATCATCTAGTCCAATGGCCCGAGGACTGTGTCCAGTTGGATTTTGAGTATCTCCACAGATGGAGACTGCACAATGTCTCTGGGAAACTTGTGCCGGTGTTTGACCAGCGTCACAGTAAAAAGCATTTTCTTGTGTTCAGTTTGAATTTCATGTGTATCACTTCACGCTCATAGCCCCTTGTCCTGTCAGTGGGCATCATGGAGAAGAGCCTCTCTCCCCATTCTTTGTTGCTTCCATCACGTAATTGTACACAAGGATAGGATTCCTCCTGACCTTTCTCTTCTCCAGGCTGAACAGTTTCTGTTCATATGAATTTCCAATTCTTGTATGAAAAGTACATGTCCCAGAGATAACAGGCATTGAAAAGTACATGTCCCAGAGATAACAGGCATTAAAAATTGTTACTGTTGTTAAAACAAATCTAGTAAAAAAGTGTTGACTAACCCTTTTGTTGACCACCCAGAAAATCATCCTGCTCCTGTGATGCATCTCCATGCAATAAAAAAAAAGCAGAGTGCAAACCAGCGTAGTTAGGCAGGACCACGATAAACGCTGCTAGACTCTTATTGATGTCCATTACTTGGTTAAAACTACTTTATTTGTAAGTCATTGCAATGTATGTCTTGTTTGAAGAAAGTTTCTTTTCTGGAATGTCAAATTCTTCAACTGTTTTGATGGAAATGCCATCAAATCTTCTTAGATATGCATGTACCATGTTATCATGTAACTCTTGTTTCTGGTGTTTGGCCAGGTAAATCTTTAAAGCATGCTATATCACATCCCATGTCTGGTAGTAATCACTTCTAAATCACATTCCTCTATTTCTCTAGTTTCCAGCAGCAGCTGGAACTGTGGAGTCTCAAGTCTTATCGGAAATGCACAAAAACCAACAGGAATTGCAGATGCGTGCAATAAATTCAGACCAGTGAAGAGGGTTTCCCCATTAAAGCACCAGCCAGAAAGCTCTGAGAACAATGAAAGTGATGACCAGAAGAACCAGAAGGGAGAATACCAGAAAGGCAGTGATTCTCAATCTGCACCTCCAAATGATGACCAGAGCCCAGGAGAAGAAGAGAGCCTTAAAAGTAAAAACATCGAACCCACTGTTCTGCTTGGGGAGCTGGAGCACTATGACCTGGATATGGATGAAATTTTGGATGTGCCTTACATCAAATCAAGCCAGCAGCTTGTTCCTTTTACAAAGGTAGCTCCTGAGAAAAAACTTTTGGGTGTATGTTCAACAGTGAATGGTCTTAGTGGCAAGACCTGCTCTGCAGGGAATGCAGAGAGCTCGCCTGCTGGCGGGACGCAGTTCTGTGTGCTGTCTCCTGTGAAAGGCTCTCAGCTGAGAAAAACACAGCCCATTGTCTTTGATCAGCACAAGCATTTAACAGAAGAATTAGAGCTTTCCCAGCCTTTAGTTAAGTGTAGCTCAGTCCATGAATCTGAAGCCCAGGGCAAGGGCTTCCTCAGCAGGACATTTGTTGATCCTCACGCTCACAAAACTGAGAAGACTATGCCAAACTGCCACCTGAGGACTTTCCACCTGCAGACAGCGGTGGCAGAAAGCAAGCAGCTAGAGGAATTGAGTATGAACTGGAGCAGTGCAGAGGGCCCCGAAGAGAGGAGCGAAGAGGTGAAAAAAATTAAGAGCATCTTAAACATTGTAAAGGAAGGCCAAATATCTTTACTGGTAAGTATCAACTTTTTCATAAAACACATAGAATAAGGGCAATCTGTGATGTGGTTTGTTAAGCCAGCAAAGGTGATGAAGTGCGTGTTTTGAACCGCTACCCTTTTTATCTCATTTGCTCCTTAAAAACTGAGCGTAAGGGCTTCCAAACGGAAAGTCTTAATCTTTAAATCAAGAATGTAGCAAAACCAAGATACTGGGTTTATGTAAATGTGGCCAAGATTGCTAGTTTGTGCAGTACACTGCAATCATATAGAAGGTATGTTGAGAACACTTAAATAGTGAATTTAAATCTTAATTGAGTTTTGCCTTTCACAACATTTGTGGGTCACTTTGTTCAATTATTGCTGGTTTACCTCAGTTGTTATTTAGAGGCTGATGATGGGAACAGAGGGGCTTCTGTTGTATTCTGATTATTATTCAGGAGTGTTTACGCTGCCTTGTTGCAGCAGCATTCTCAGGCAGGAGCTTTCTCTAAAGCCTCATTGGCCTCTGACCCATATGAAGTTTTTCAGTAAATTCTAATACTGTCATCAGGCACTAGCAATGATGGTTTCCAAAGTAACTAGATGCAAGTTAACACAATGATGCAGAGCATGTGATCTCCACTCAGAGTGGCTGGTGGAGGCACAGTGTATATCTAAGAACTGTTTTTGTTAGATTTTTGTTTAGCTTCTCTATTTACTAGTCTAGCTCAAGCACAAAGACACGCTATTAAAGTAGCAGCAAGAACAAAGGCAGATATTCAATGACTAGACAGAGGCAGAAAAGAATATTAGATTGCTCAATAAGAAATGAAAGCAAATTAAATTCACCCTAAAATAGGAATTGGGGGAAAAAAAAGAGGTCATCATAGGTAGGTAGGTGGAAAGAAAATCTATATGTTAATTCTGTCTTCCTTCTTCCATTTTCCTTCTGGAGTTTCTCAATCCAATTGTTTTGTCTCAAAATTAGACTTGGGCAGAAATAATGTATTAGGTCATGCTTGTGTAGTACTTCAGGTAAAATTCCAAGTTTTTTTCATGGAAACAAGCTATGAAATGAAAATCTTCTGTCATGTGTTTTAACTACATTTTAGATTGTGCTTAACACAGGCTGCCACTTTTGTGACAAGCAAAACTGATCAGGAACTTTTTTAGGAGTCGTGGATGTTTTCTATTCAATTACTCATCAATACAATAAAAAAAAAAAAAAAAGAAAGAAAAAAGAGAGAAACCAAACACAAAATAGACAGAAATTATGAAAATATGGATATTTTGGCAGCTAGTTCATTGATCAAACTGCTACAAAGACTTAAATCTACCCAAGATTTTGTGCTGTTGTATGACAGTTGCATGAGAAGGAGAGAAACTACGCAGTGAATCAAGCCAGCGAGCATCCTTCTGCTAATAGTAGCCAGGCTCTACATAGTGAAGTGAAAAGCTCCCGGGTTTGAGTTATAAAATAATATGCCCATGGGGAAACATCTTTATATTTGACTTGTGTCTTGGGCTATGAGGCTTAATGTTCTGTGTATCTTTTTATCCTTAGTTATAACATAATGCCTTTTTTGACAGCCACATTTAGCAGCAGATAATCTGGATAAGATCCATGATGAATGTGACAACAATCTGTTGCATGTAGCAGCATCAAAGGGACATGCAGAATGTCTGCAGCATCTCACTTCTTTGATGGGTGAAGACTGTTTGAATGAACGAAACATTGAGCAGCTAACTCCAGCTGGATTAGCAATAAAGGTAACAGTCTCTATCTCTACTCCAATGGGATATAAAGGTCATTAAGTTTCTTCCTGTGATGGCAGTAATACATCCAGTAAGATGCTATCTTTCAAGCATTTTGTTAAGTGAGAGTGAAAAGAACTCTTGTCTGCTACCACATAAGCAAATAAAAACGGATTGCTATGCAGAGTACAATATTGGCTGTATAGCACTGACGTTTTATACACTGTTGTCAATGCATATACATTCATTTTTAAATCAGTTAACTGACTCTAAAAAAAATTTTATATTTTAAGGAACTTTCATTTAACTCAGACTCAGTTGTTTCTTTCTAGAGAGCATAACAGTTTCTTGGTTTTTTACAAATACAGGTATAAGGCAAGTGTGAGAACACATTTACAAAGCATAAAAAAACTCCGATCTCCATCTGGAGGTGAAACTTCTTGATTATCTAGAACAGCCGCATCCAAGTTAAAATGTACATGTTACGGAACAACCTGTGAGAAACTGCAAAAATTCATGTGAAAGCTTACAGGAAAACCTATTATGTCAGAAAATGTTAAAATTATTGGTGTTGCTGCAGTAAAATAAAACATAGCAGTGTACCAGAAGACTGATAATTTAGTCGCACTGATTCTGTTTCTTTAGAAAGTGGGATCGAATGGTTGAATGCCATTCATTTTAGCCACTAAGTACCTTAAGAATAAAAAAGGAAAGGGTGAAGTATAAGACAAGAGTTTCTGTTTCTTCCAGGATTTTATTGTTATTTGCTTCTTGGGAAAACTTTAGAAACTGATAGAGGACTGGTAGATTCCATCCTGCAGGTTTGCATCTTTGAGACATCATTTCTATGACCTAAGGCACTGGTGCAGGTTTCAGGGTTTGTTTTTTTTTATTATTTTTCTGTGACAAGCCATATGAATACAAAATTAAACTGATGTCTAGTTGTACTGATGAAATGCTGTTATAAAAGTGAGGTATTTAGCTTCAATACCTTGACACATGTTCAAATTGAATAGTTACAGTCTGACAATTTAAAGTCCTACAAGTTTAGTTGGAAATAATTTTCTTTCTTATTTTGTTCAACCTAGGTAGATAATGTGTTTATAAGCCAATAAAACTTTTGTCTTTTTCTCCAGAAAGGTTGACTTTTTAAATAATTGATTCCTTCAGTTTCCGTAATACTTGAGCATGCTTTGACATTCACAGAAAAGTGTGTAAATGTAATGGAATTCTGCGTGCAAGTGAGGGTCCTCAGGCCCAAGTGTTTCTAATGATGACCTGTGTGGCTAAACTTGTCCTGGATCATTGCAAAATTTTCTAAGAGTCTTAAAGTACTTTGGCATGACTAAACTTTGTAGCTCTTGATCCTTACTCCCAGTGTTTTTGCACACTAATAGCATGGACTTTGTACTTACTGCTCTTACTTTATGCCGTTGTAACTTCCATAATGTTACATCTTGTGGGACGTGCACCTATGTTCCACAAGAAAGATAACTAGCAGAATGGAACAAAACTTGTATGCAGGAATGGAAATTTCCGTGATAAAGAGTTTCAACAATTTAGAGATGATGCGTAACATTTCCCAGTAAGGAATGAATTAATTAAAACTAATTCTTTCGATTCAAGACCTCTTTCTGACCTTGAGTTATGAGCTAGAGAACAAAAATGGGACAGTATGTTATGGCAACTTGCACTGTCATATTGATAGTTAATTTTAACTAACTATGGAGAAATCATTTTCGCATTAGCAGAATTATCTTATTTAGCAGTACTTTATTTTACTAATTCTTCACCTTAATTTTAAAAGCACAAAAATATTTTACTCAGTCGTGATACAAAGGAAAACAAAATAAAAAATTTTTAGTTAGTCAAGCATACTAATATTTGAACCCTAATATGGTGAGGAGGCTTTTTCTAGTGTAATAAAAAGAATACAAGTAGTTTCATTGTTTTACTTCATTACTGAAATTGAAAGAAATAGAGGAAAACAAGTAAAGTAAGATGGTGTGCATTTTTCTGTTTTTATACATACATTATGTATGGAAGGAATAAGACAAATATCAAAGTAATTTTATTCCAATTTTTCTTTCTCCCATATGATTTTAAATGGGTTAATATTTATAACATTCTTCTTGTTTTATAAAAGTAAAACTGAAGCTTGAAATTGATATTTTTTTCTTTCTCATGGTAACTTTTTCCATTTTACACACACAAACAGCTTTTTCTGTTATGTATGTTGACCTGTGTGAGGTTTTGACTGAGCAATTGAAATACTTGTTTCAGATACAAAGAATATAATGGCCTTTATGAACATGAGAGTTGAAAAATGAAGTAAGAGTGGGCTGGAGCATAGGTCATGCCAAACTGCATTTACCAAGTTACCTTCACTGAAAAGGGGCTGCAGCAAGAGAAGCTGCTAAAAACTCTTGCCTTTACACTGGGCTACAAGCATACTCTGAAGAAAGCGTTCATCTGCTTTCACAGCATCTTCAGCCCACTTCATAGTAACTTGCCAAATACTAGGAGCATGCATAGCAGCGTGAATCTTGAGAATGGACTGTAAAAGGTGTTCAGGGCAAGAACTGTCTTGGTTGTCTATGTACAGTATCTGTTACTATTGGATTGTTAGCCATTACTGCTCCTCCATGTGGGTGCCGATGAAGCCACAAGGCATAGTCCAAGGGCGATCAAGAAACTTCAGGGCCCTGGGACAGTTGGTAAGGGAATCTGGAGCACAAGTATCTTTTCCTCTCTCCTTCCAGTTGCCGGCAGCAGCATTGGAAGAAACAGATCCACTCAGTCTATTAATGCATGACTCTGTGGCTGGTGTCACTGCCACAGTTTTGGGTTTTTTAATAATGGGATGGCCTACATGGCACCAGGCTTGCTGATGCCAGATAGGATTCACCTTTCTCCAACAGTGAAGATGGTCTTTGCTTATGAACTAGCAGGGCTCATTGACAGGGCTTTAAGCTAGATTTGAAGTGGGAGGGGGATAATATCAAGCTTGATCAAGACAAGCTGCGAGCACCTGAAGAGCAGCAGAAAGGAATTCCAGCCCCTCCAGCCAGTAAGTCAGCTTCATCAGGGCCCAACCTAAATGCCTCTATGCAAAGACACGTAGAATGGGGAATAAACAAAAGGATGCAAACACACGTAGCATGGGGAATAAACAAAAGGACTTACAGGTGTGTGCACACCTGTAGGGCTATGATCTTATTGGCATTACAGAGACGTGGAGGGATGAATCCTATGACTGGAATGTTTGAATAGAAGGATACAGACTCTTTAGGAAGGACAGGCAGGGGAGACAAGGAGGAGGTGTCACCCTCTATGTCAGTGACAAGCTGGATTGCATGGAGCAGTGCCTGGAGATGGACAAAAAGCTGACTGAGACCTTATGGGTCAGGATTAAAGGGAGGGCAGGGACAGGTGACATTGTAGTGGAGGTCTGCTACAGGCCACCTGACCAGGAAGACGAAGCAGATGAGGCCCTCTATAGAGAGATAAGAGCAGTTTCATGTTCATGAGCCCTGGCCCTCATGGAGGACTTCAACCACCCCGATATCTGTTGGAGGGGCATAAGCAATCCAGGACGTTCCTGGAATGCATTGATGATAACTTCCTACTCCAAGTCATAAAGAAACTAACAATGAGGTCAGATGCTATGCTGGACTTTGTTCTTACCGACAAGAAACTGCTGGTGGGGAATGTGAAGCTCAAGGGGAGTTGAACCCAAGCTCAATTGGCTATAGTGACCATGCACTGGTGGAGTTCAAGACCCTTAGGGTTGTGAGGAGGGTGCACAGCAAGCTCACCACCCTAGACTTTAGGAGACCAGACTCTGGCCTCTTCACAGATCTTCTTGGTAGAGTACCACCACGAGATAAAGCCCTGTAGGGAAGAGGGGCCCAAGAGAGCTGGTCAATATTCAAGGATCACCTCCTCCAAGCTGAAGAGTGATGCATCTCAACAAGGAGGAAGGCAGGCAGAAATGCCAGGAGGCAAAGAGCTCCTGGACAAACTCAAGCACAAAAGGGAATCCTGCAAAGGTTGGAAGCAAGGGCAGGTAGCCTGGGAGGAATACAGAGAAATTGTCCGAGCAGCCAGGGATCAGGTTAGGAAGGCCAAAGGTCTGATAGAATTCAATATGGTCAGGGACATCAAAGGCAACAAGAAAAGCTCTTATAGGTACATCAGTAATAAAAGGAGGACTGGGCAAAATGTGGGTCCTCTCTGGAAAGAAAGAGGAGATCTGTTTATGCAGGATATGGAGAAGGCTGAGGTACTCAATGACTTCTTTGCCACGGTCTTCACTGGCAAGTGCTCTAGCAGCACCGCCCAAGACACAGAAGGCAAAGGCAGGAACTGGGAAAATGAAGAACTGCCCACTGTACAAGAAGATTAGGTTCGAGACCATCTAAAGAACCTGAAGGTGCACAAGTTTATGGGACCAGATGAGGTGCGTCTGTGGGTCCTGAGGGAACTGGTGGATGAAGTTGCTAAGCCACTATCCATCATATTTGAGAAGTCGTGGTAGTCCGGTGAAGTTCCCACCGACTGGAAAAGGGGCAATATAGCCCACATTTCCCAAAAGGGAAAAAGGGAAGACCCACGAAACTGTAGGCCAGTCAGTCTCACCTCTATGCCTGGCAAGATCATGGATCAGATCCTCCTGGCAACTATGCTAAGGCACATGGAAAATGAAGAGGTGATTGGTGACAGTCAACATGGTTTCACTAAGGTCAAATTGTGCCTGACAAATTTGATCGCCTTCTAATGACGGGATTACAATTTTGGTGGGTAAGAGAAAAGCAACTGACATCATCTACCTGGACTTGTGCAAAGCATTTGACACTGTCCCACACGACATCCTTGTCTCTTAATTGGAGAGGCATGGATTTGACTGATGGACCACTTGGTGGAAAAGAAATTGGCTGGATGGTCACACTCAAAGAGTTGTGGTCAATGGCTTGATGTTGAGTGGAGACCAGTGATGAGTGACATTCTTCAGGGGTTGAGGGAGGTGATTCTGCCCCTAATCTCCGCTCTTGTGAGACCCCACTAGGAGCACTGCATTCGGCTCTGGGGCCCCCAACACAAGAAGGACATAGAACTGTTGGAGAAGGAACAGAGGAGGGCCACAAAGATGAGAGACCTGGAGCACCTCTCCTATGAAAACAGGCTGAGCAAGTTGGGATTGTTCAGTCTGGAGAAAAGAACGCTCCAGGAATACCTTCTATCAGCCTTCCAGTGCCTAAACACAGCCCATAAGAAAGCTGGAGAAGAACTTTTCACAAGGACCTGTAGTAATAAGACAAGGGGTAATGGATTTAAACTGAAGGAGGGTAGGTTTTTATTAGATATAAGGAAGAAATCCTTCACTATGAGGATGGTGAGGCACTGGACCAGATTTCCCAGAGAAGTTATGGCTGCCCCATCCCTGGAAGTGTTCAAGGCCAGGTTGGATGGGGCTGTGAGCAACCTCATCTAGTGGAAGGTATTCATCCCCATGGCAGGGGGGTTAGAACTAGATGATCTTTAAAGTCCTTTCCAACCCAAACCAATCTATGATTCTATGATTACAGATAGGTCCTAATCAATGAGGATTAGGTGTTCAGATATTATATACATAACTTAGGAAGCATTCATTTAATTAGTAATCAATGAAGACTTGAGTTTGTAGGGAGACTGTTCACTCTGTTCCAGCAAATGATCTCATTTAATATTGAGCCTTGCTGTACAATTGATGGAAATAGAACAACGGGTTTGCTCTGAACAATCTGAGGGTAGGGGCCAGATTATGTATGTAATACTACTTGACTGTCATTTTGTGGTGGGTTTATGTGAAACGGTTTTGGTAGCAGGAGAGGGGATTCACCCCCTGTAACTTACCAGGCTCCAAAGCCAGTCGGACCGATCTCTGGTCAAGTTGGGCCCCCACCCCTCTCAGGCCAGGGTCGAGCCAATCAGCACCTTTGCAAATTCCCCATTTAAGACAGGGACAAAGGAGTCCGAAACGTTGGTTTGGACCTGCAGCTGAAGATGTCCATGGCGGTGCAGCTCGGAGAGCTCGGAAGTGCCCCACTGCCAGCGTGCCTCTAGGCTGAGTTCATACAGAGAGGACTAAGATCTGAAACGGCCACACCGACACCAGGTCAGTGAAGATGGAATGGGATGAGGTGTGCCGGAGATGAGTTTCCCCTGCAACCAGTGCAAGCAGCATTTCCCCGCAGCCAGGACAGACACGATGGAGCAGAGACCCACTTGCAGCCCGTGGAGAAGCCCGCACTGGAGCAAAGATGCCTGAGCATGAGGAAGGTTATGGAGAATGAGACGCACGACAAAGTAGAGATGCATCTAAAGTCCGTGGGACGATCCACGCCGGAGCGGGTGACAGCTCCCTAAGAATCCGTGACTGTGGTAAAAGCCCACACTGGAGCAATCTGATGGGTCAGGATTGCATCCTGCAGGAAAAACTCACTCTGGAGAATTCTGTGGACTGCCTCGTGAGTAGGGGATCCACTGGAGCAGGGGAAAAGAGCATAAGGAGTCCTCCTCCTTTAAGAAAGGAGCGGCAGAAATAATGTGTAACAAACTGACCTGTACCCTCCATTCCCAGTCCCCTGCGCCGCTGGGAGAGGAGGTAGAGCTGGGAAGAAGGGAAGGGAGGGGAGGTGGGAGGTGTTGTTTTTAAGATCTGGCTTTGTTTCTCTTTATCCTCTCAAGTAACTCTTAATAAATTGAATTGATCTGTCCCCACGCGGAGTCTGTTTTGCCCGGGGCCATGGTCAATGGGTGATCCCTCTCCGTTTTCATACCGACCCTCAGCCTTTTTCTTACATTTTTCTCCTCTCCACTGCACTGAGGGGAGGAGTGAACGAGCAGCTGAGTGGTGGCTGAGCCAGCTGGGCTGAACCACGGCACATTTTCGCATTGCCACTTCACTATAATCAATAGGCAAACTCTTATTGATCCAGGACAGCAAGATAAACAAGTGAATTACGTGAGAGCAGATAAAAGAACATATTTTCAAACAAACTGGAATTTAACAACATTTTAATAATTCTCATAAGCTTTTCCCTTTTTGTAGATGTGTTTAGAACTGAAACAGCTGGAATTTAATTATTTTCTGTTATTTCTTTAGAATGGTCAGCTGGAGTGCGTTCGGTGGATGGTGAGTGAAACAGAAGCTATTGCAGAATTAAGTTGCTCAAAAGACCACCCAAGCCTTATTCATTATGCAGGTTGCTATGGCCAGGTATGACTTTCATTTACTTTTTCAAATAGATTATTTAGATGCTCATACAAGAATTTAAATTTAAATCATCCCTATCATTGTGTGGCTTTTAATAACAGATGTCCTTAATTAGTTCAAATATACCAAAATATTTTCCCACTAAATCTGTGTATTTTTTTCAGTATTTTCCCCTTTAAGTCTTTCTTTTAAGCTTTAAGTAGTTTCTAGAAGATTAGCTGGCATATTAGGCCAACCTATCAATCCTAAGAACATCTAGGGAGCTTAGCTGTCATGATCCCTAGGACACATCAGAAAATTGTCAAACATTTTGGAATAGTTCACATTCTCTTTCCAGGAGAGACTAATCTCAAAAAATTTTGGCAAATTGTGACAATTTAGAAATTTAGTATATTGGCAGTGAAGTATGGTGAAACTTGAACATAATCTGTCTAGCGCTAGCCAGTTTATTGAGAATTACATATAAAAATATGTTGTAAACCAATCCTGTTCCACACCTAACTTATCTATAAATCTAATGATGAGAAACCACAGAAGTACAGCATTTCAGTGCTTTGCTAATGTCTGGGGAAACATGTATCACTTAATTACACCACATTCTCTTCCCACAAATTCTTTTTTCCTGAGTAGACCTTGCAATAACCTCTCTTCAAAGGACCTTCTCTAGGATCTATTACACAAGGAATAGAGATCTGTTATTCTTCTCTAACCTCTTTGGCAGATGGGCCACTTTATCACCCAGTTTCTTCAACAGACATTAAGGCTAAATGGAGAAAACCCACTGGTGTTTTGCTAATGCTTTTTTCCTCTTACTTGTTAAGAGAGAATAAGCAAAACATAACCACTAAGAAAATTTATCTTTTTTTTTTCCTGTATGAGTGTGGTTGTCTCATTCAATGCCGTGCGATTATTGTGGCATGTTTCTGCTGTTAACTGATTCTGTCCAAGTATGAATTTACTGGAGGGGGAAGGAAAGAGAGAGGGCAGGTTTGGAAGGCTATGGAGCTAGAAGGCTACCCTTTTCTTGCTGTTTCCATAGGCACACAGACATCCTTGGTTTTGTGCTGTGCAAAGACCTTCATCGCCTTTTCTCCACTCACCTACTATGCAGATGTTACTGGTGCAAGTTAGGACCATTCTGGATGTACTCATTGATTGTATCCTGCTTTCCGTAGCAAGTTTGGCCTGTAAACCTAGCACTGAATACAGGGAGGCTGGGAGCCAGATCAGAACTGGATTTGAGAAAGGCATGTTTGCTACTGGGAAGAAAAATTTTGGAAGAGGAAGTTTCATGTGAACTTACATTCGTATCTTCAATTGATTAGCGTAATTTTGCCCTCATCTGTAAAGATATTTATAAAACTATATCCAGTGAAGCTCTGGGTTTCTTCAGTGAGCTATGCTGTCTACTGGCCAGGAACAGATCTGGCACCCTTTATCTAGATTCTTTTCAGAGTGAGACGGAAGCTCCACCAGTTAAGAAACACCAGCTACAATCAGCCACCCATGAAATTTAAAAAGGTGATATATAAATTGCTGCCAAATTTTCTTAGCTAGCTGAGTGCCAAAGAAAGTTCAAATGTAATGTCAGTTATCTTTTTTTTCATAATCCATTTCATAATTCAAACATCTTGCAAACATGAGGGAATGTTGAGGCTGAAGGGATGCCAGACTCTCTTACCCGACTCTGTTAAGAAGAAAGAAACTTTGAGAAATTCAGATGCGTAGTTGGCGCTATCCTCGGAGCTTTAATTTATTTTACCATTACTTACAAGAGAGATAATCCATGTAAACACTGGTCTTGGCAGAATTACAAGAGTAATATTTTTACAAGAAAGACCTGTTACTGAATCACTTTCTAAAAGAGTCAGTCCTTCCATTGTTTCCCCAGGCATTAGGCATGCACACCATAATTTTCTTCAATAAATGTCATTTAGAATGGGCACCAAAAGGAATTTGTAGCAAAGCTCCTATGTTAAAGATCATCAAACCACAGTCATAGCCTGACTCCAAAGACATCTCAACAATATTGTATTTGTCTGATGACAGAGGGACAACATCAGTTCAACTGATGGAAGAGAAGACCTTAAGGTCAACCTGTAGTCTGGTCAACATATCTACTAGCAAGGGCTTCTTTAAGCATGGGATTATGCAAGAAGCAACCATGATTGTTGTCAGGCCTGCCTCTCTATGTCAGGCATGAGTGATGGGTACATGGCAGATTGTGTGCCAACTGTGTCTGGCACAGTCACCACATGACAGGAAAGAGATGGTAGTGCAGTCCTAGGTGCACATAGTAGGTCCTGATTAAGAGCTTCACAGGGCTGTAATTTCTTTTCAACACAATGCTGTGATAGCATGGACCGCACAGGTAAGAAGCAGAGGGTGGGGAATGCTGAGGGTTTGTTGCTTCTGAGCTCCAGAGAGTCTAGGGAGGCTTCGTGGAACCAGAGCTGTAGCATGACTCAGGATTTAGGAGGGGTTCTGTGCACCGCTTGGTAGTTGTGTAGGGCTGGAGAGCACAGTGGGGAAGAGTGTGTGACATTGAGATACCCAAATGCCTAATGAAACACCTTTTTGCACCTCAGGATGTTTGCCTTCTTGTCTAATGTCATTTTTCCAAGCATAATGTGTTGTTTTCACTCATTCCTACTCCTCTAATGTGAAGGGATACTGGGAAGGGCAGATTATTTAATTAATATCAAGTGATGGGGTTAGGATTAGCTGTAGAATCAGTACTCTTTGTCATGCTAATCCTTCCTTTTGTAGTCCGTTTAATGGTTTAAATGGTCTTTGTTAGTTGTTCTTTCTGCTCCAAAAGTCGGCTGATGGAGCCAAAGTCTGCCACCTGTCCCAAAACAGAAATTGCGTATTGTGAGATTTTCACAGAATCTTGTTTTAGGGAGGTTTGAATTATTGTAGATCTAGAATATACCAGAAGGATGTTAACCCCACTGCTACAACATAAGACCATCGTAGGTCTTAAAATAATCAGATATACTGAATAATTCATCAGTATTTATCAGTTCCTCTTACATAACAAATATGTGATGATTTTTTGTTATCTTAATCTCATGAATTTTCTTATTATCCTTCATTTTGTCTGAAAAAAAATGTGTTGATGATTATAAACCTAAGAACACTTTTCTTCCAAATACATAAGGTGTTACTCAAGTGATATATTTTGATATATGATGTTTTATTTTTTCTTAGGTGTAAGTGAAGAAAATACTTGTTTTCTTTTTTTTTTTTTTTGTGAAAGATACATTTGTTAAAAAACATAGTCATTTGAGAGAAACACAAACTGTTTGAGCAAGCCTCTGACTTTGTGACTGTGATCACTTGATACACAGACATTCCTAAATACAGATGATTACATTTAGCTGTCCAGGCACTTGATTTCTCTGTTGATAAGATAAATGACTAGAAAGCATCATTTGCTCCATACTGATTGCGATCATAAAATTATAGAACATGCTTAACATTCTGGTCCCTATTATGTTCCAAAGAAATACATAATTTCAAAGCTGTAGTTGTCTTCCAGTGCTGTAGAGGACCTTTGCTAAAATATTTTTCTTTTAATTATTATAACGTAAGGGCAATTCATAGGAGTACTGTAATGCTTCTTCACTGCTGGCCAACACCACAGGCATCTCAAGAAATTTCTCGAAAGTATTTTGAAAGGGATATGTGATCTGAAGTCATCTCTCCATGCTGGCTGTCAGCTGTATTGGGCATTCAGCCAAGGAGAAGTGAAAATACCTATCCTTTCACTCTGTAATAAAAACAAAACTGCTGTTAAAGTGGAAATATGAAGAAGATAAGTTCCAGTAGACTAGCCCTCTGAAGTAGTAAGCAAAGATCCAGGTGCCTGAATGACCGAAAATCGTTTGGAGAAGACCTAAAAGAGTCTGAGGATCCATTTCCATTTCAATTTCTGTAGTGTTTTTATACCAAAAAAAAAGAAATTTATCGCCAAGGTTCCTAGCTAGAACTTCCTTTCCGCATTTTTAATCTTTCTCTTTCCTACCTGATTACTGCTCAGAGTTCCAGACATGCTTTCAGTACTTTTTTAATTGGGTACACGTCGCTCTTACAGACCCGCATACCTAACTGTGGGCAATTATGTACTTGCGTATCACTGAAGCTACTGAAGTGCTGCAGGTTAAGTCTATGCATTGGTGTTTGCTGCACCGACACCAGAATGTACAAAGCTCTTTTGAACTACAGCTCCTAGCCAGTTTAACACATGATAGATATCAATGGAAGATAATAAAAACAACATACAGACGTGTGCTTTTTAATGTACAATTCCTCCGAATGTGTTACAGTATTCATATGTTTCCTCTTATGTCTTTTTATAAAACAAATAAAATATTTTAGCCTATTTCTTTGAAAAAAAAAAGCACCAAACAACAGAGGCAGACCCATGATACGCCAAGTCCGACAAAGTTAAGATATACTGAAAACAAGGAATTATTGGACAGCATTAGTTACAGAGGCTGGTACCTGTATTCCTCTAGTAGATAGAGCTTTTCATTATTTCTTATCTTTTGTAACATCTCTTTCCCCCTCCCCATAGGAGAAAATCCTTCTGTGGCTTCTTCAGTTTATGCAAGAACAAGGGATTTCACTGGATGAAGTTGACCAGGATGGAAATACTGCTGTCCACATAGCTGCTCAACATGGCTACCTAGGATGCATACAGGTAGTGTGACAGCTATATCAGAAAACTGTTTATATCAAACTTGAATGACAACCACCTTTAAAATTATTGTGGAAGATCTTAAAAGTGGGAATAATTATTGATACGTTAACATATACCAGAACGAAGAACTTTAAACCAGTAAGACTCAGACTGAAATACCAAAAAGCTTTATTTTTTTATTTTGTTCTCAATTATGCTGTCGTTAGCCTAAAGTAACTGTGATAATGCAAGAAGAAAGCATGATTATACTGCTTATAATAAGCAACTAGTGTATACGTTTTTATGTTACAAAAGGGCAACCAGTGTTGATATGCGTACTCTTCTTACTATTCCAATATTTTCCTTCTGTTCCTTTTTCCAGTGAATAGTCATAGTTGTCTGGCTTAAGGGAGGTCTAGCAGATAAGTTTCTTCTCTGTTGAAGGATTTCCACCTTGAGTAAACCATCCTTTCCAGACTTGTAATCTTCAAATATATCTATGCTAAACAACGCAACATGATGATGATTTCTAACTAATTCTCAATTAATCAGCTTGGCCGTTGAAAGCAACATAGTTCTGTTGTATTTGGTTGCTGAAAAGGGTAATTTGTCCTGCTGAGAAGGCTTACACAGCTACAGTGCTTTTGGGAGCCAGATCTGAATAAACAAGTTTGGATACCCTGTACAGTAGCAGTGTTCGATGTAAACATACAAAAAAACCCTGTAGGGTTGAACTGGATGGCTAGGTGAAGTGTCTCAACTTTGCCTTGAATTGCAGATGTACCTTCTGACCATCAAAGTTACTAGAACTGTTAATCGCATTTGGTGTTGTCATCGCTTTGAGTGAAAGCTGTTTGGAGAAGAAATAATAATAAAATTTTTTCAGGAGGTTGCAGAAAGGTATTTGAGAAACAAATTAGTCATTGGAGAACAGTAGATAACCACATGGAAGAAAGGCAAGAAACAGAAATCAAAGTGATCAGGTCAAGTAGGGGAGGAAAACATGTCTAAAAAGAGCAGTAATTCTCAGTCTAAGGACTCAGATATATATCAGTAAACATGTTAATCCTGTTGTCACATGTGAACTGATCCACAGTACCTCTTAGACCATTGCAAATGCAAATTTGTGTTAGTTCAATCCTAAAAGAAGTACAGTCTACAGATGCATAGCTGCTTATTATTATTATAGCAGTCTATTTAAACTAATCTGGACACAGAGAAAACATAACTCCATAAAAGCCAGTTTGAGAGTCTCATGCAATAAAAAAAAGAAAAACAGGTGACAGCTGAGCTGAATGAATAGACTTGAAAAAAACACAGTCAAATAGATTTGGAGGACATGAGTATCTTTACATTTTCTCATTGATGGTCCATGTCTTTCTTTTAAAGATGCCAGGAATGTACCCTGTACAAACTCTTATGAGAACAAAATAAACAAATCATCATGTATGTGCTAAATCTAGTGGGTTTATTATTGTTTTGTAGATAATTGCTATGATCAGTTGGAAAAAAGTGCTTAGAAGAAATGTGTATGATTTACTAGTGAGGAGCACTGTTATGGTAGAGTGTGTGCTTAGGGCTGCTAACTCAACAGTGCCTCATCAAGATGCTCAATGCCTTTGAAGGAGAAATGAGAGCAGATTATTTTGAACAGAGTGGTGACATCTGCAGGCTGTTTTCATGGATAAAGCTGAACCAAAAGGAGAATAGCCCTGCTTTCCCCATGAAGGATGACCATTAATAAATGGCTTAGGATTCTCAGGACTATTTCATTGTACATAAATATACAACTCAACAAGTGTTTTGTGTTGAAGTGAGGCCATGAGAAATAAATCATGAAAATATCTAATGACAACAAAAATTCACATTAGCAATGTCACTTCATTAACACCTCACAGTCCTAAGTAAGTGCATTTGATGTTTTACTGTGCTGTGAAACGAAATAAGCCCTGTACCCAGTAAGCTTATAGTCTAATTTAAAACAATGTGCAGTGAATCATCTGGTGAAAAGAAAGAAGCGATAAAGGAGGCAGGGAGATTGTAAGTAACAGTACAAAAGATGGAAGATCACAGGGTGTCAGTGATTCCCCAGCCTTCTCATTCACTGTGTTTATGAGCAGGTGAAACTCCTATTGCATTCCAAACTATGAGTTTGCTTTCTGCAGGGTCATAATTCTCTCTTCTTGATTTTCTTTATTGGCAAATTATACCAAATTTATTCACATGAGATGCAGTGCAAGACCGTTCGTAAGTTTTCTTTCCATATTAATTTAGCAGACCAGACAGACCACCATTCCTGTTTTCTGTCAGCAGATGTAGAGGTCTCTGTGCCTGTAGTTCTAAGTCAACAAGGCCACTCCCATCCTTGGTGGCTTACCAGCTCTGCTTGGGTAAGCTAACCAAGAGCTCAGCCATGCAATTCCTCTTCTGCATGTGTATGTGTAATGTTAATGACGCTCTTGTTTTGAACGCATTATGGTTTTGCTCAGAAGTTGTTCCAAAGTGCTATGAGCAACGCGTGTCTGAACATTGCTGAAAACATTTAGATCCTATTCTAGGCTCTCCAGTAAAGCAAATGGTGCATAACACTGATTATCACAAACAGATCAGAAAGAATGAAGGTTTGGTCTCAATTCTTGCTTTGTTTATTGGATGTCTTCAGGTCAGCTTGACAGAACTTCTTTTGCCCTTACAACACTCTGTATTCCAATCCCAGAGGTAACTCAAATCTCGTGCTCACAACCTGGACAGTTCTCCAGCAACAAGCTAGGGTTCTCCACTAGTATTGTGAGTAACACAAGAGTATATATCAGAGTAGTAGCCCTTGTTTAAAGACTAAAAGCTGGCATGTATTTGAGCATCTCATTAAAAGAAAATAGAGCGTAACCAAGCAAGTACAAAGCAATGAGACTTCTTTCAGCATTAAAAAAAAAACAACCAGATTGAAAGAGTCAATGTACAGATTTATTTCTGCAAAAGAAATTTGTGTCTGTCTGACCTAAAAAAGTTGTTGGAAAATATCTGCCATACATTTCATGTATGAAATGACAAGACAAGCCTCTTGTCTTACCACCCAAGCTGTGGAAAGAACTAGCAGGGACTGTGAGGATGAACCATGGCCCACTGTACTTGAAGAGCAGGTTCGGGAACATCTGAGGAACTTGAAGGTGCACAAGTCCATGGGACCTGATGAGATCCATCCGCGGGTCCTGAGGAAACTGGCAGATGAAGTTGCCAAGCCACTGGCCATTGTATTTGAGAAGTCGTGGTGGTCTGGCGAGGTCCCCGATCACCAGAAGAGAGGGAACATAACCCCCATTTTTAAAAAGGGGAACAAGGAGGACCCGGGCAACTACAGGCCGGTCAGCCTCACCTCTGTGCCTGGCAAGGTCATGGAGCAGATTCTCCTGGCAACCATGCTAAGGCACATGGAGAGCAAGGAGGTGGTGG